CATAGAAAGAAGCGCCGCCGTCGCAAGCCGGAGGACCCCGCCCCGTCGTCGCGTGGCGGAGGAGGAGCGCAAGATGTCGAGGAGGAGAGGGCAAGAAATAGGGAGCGGAAGTTGAAGGCGATGGATATGAAGGAGGGGTGGTGGGATGCGGGGAAGGAGGAGAGGGAGAGGGAGGGGGAGGGGAGGGCGTTCAAGGGCGGTGCGCATGGGGGGGTTAGGGGGGTGAGGTCGGGTGGTGCGGGCGGTGGTGGTAGTGGTGGGGGGTTGGGGGGGAAGCCGGTTTTCGGTCAAGCGCCGGTGGATGAGGGCGGGGAGTATGATGGGTTTGGACTGAGGGGAAGGGGTGGCGGTAATAGGGCACGGGGTGGTAGAGGAAGAGGCGGGAGGGGAGGTGGCCGAGCGCTGTTTGACGAGCGCGAGGGCGAGTATAATCGCGACCAGGGCCGTCGGCAGGAGGGGCCTGCTCCGGCACCGCCTCCGCCTAAGAAGGCGGACTTGAAGAAGGAGGACTTCCCTGCCTTGCCTTCATCGTCCACGACACCCCCTAAGAAGGTCGACACCGCGTGGGTTGCGAAACCCAGCGTCATAGAATATCCGGTGTCGTCACCTATCGGCAAGTGGGATGAGGAGGTGGCTGCCACGCTCGACAACCCATCCTAGGAGGTGTGGTAAGAGTGGCGGGGTACAGTTACGCGGAGGGGGGCGTGGGTGGGAACGGAACGATGAATTTTTTGAGCACCTACCTGCCTAGGCGGTTGCCGTGTGAGCTGTGCCAGCAGTGGCAACAAATCCATTAGACAGGCAAATCGCAGGGACAGCCAACAGCAGTACCAGATTGTTACCGGGAAAGTGATAATTGGCTTGTTGACGGTGGGCGTCCCAAAGCCCATGAATGCCGAGGCCGATGATACGTGGCATGGCCGGGAAATGCCCCGGCTCCTACACATTTAGGTACAAAAAAACGAGCTAAATCGCACCTTGGAGATCCTATGGAAGTTGTAGGTACATAGGTAGCTCGACAATCCAACTAAGCATATTTAGTCCGAACCCACCAGGCCCTATCCCGACCGTGATATCTTGCCATTTTACCTTATTAAACAACGCCAAACGCCAGCCAATGCGAAGCTCAATGCTGTATACACCTTCCACCACCTACCACCCCCGCCGCGGCCCGCGCGGACGGAACCCGCCACTCCTGGGGCCCCTCGGCCCCTTCCAACCGTCACCATATCCTCCCCCGGGACCAGTCGGCACACCACCCATCTCCTCGTCCCCGCCGCCCATCGGCATCGGCGCACGCTGTCTCCCGCGCATCTCCTTGGGGAACGCGTCGTACGCCTTGCGCATCTGGGCGAAACCCAAATGCATCTTGCCGAAGAAGTGGTCGGCCAGGCGGCGGTCGTTGTCGAGACGGCTCAGGTAGGCGCCGCATACATCGCACACCTGCAGCTTCTGGTGGCCCGACGGGCCCGAGGTCTCGGACAGCGCCTTGAGCTCCTTCTCGCGCTCGGCCTTGGCGGCCTGGGCGTGGCGCACCTTGTAGTACTCGTCGTAGGCGCGGGCGACCTCGCCCGTCTCAGCCAGGATCTCGACCTCAAGCAGGCTCGTTGGCGACGGTCGAGCCCAGGTCCGGAGATGGACTTGAGCAGCGCGTTGGTCTGGCGCACCTCGTCGGGCGTCTTCTCCAGCCGCCGCTGCAGCGTGTCGATGTTGCGGTTGCACGACTCAATCCGGCTCTGCAGGTCGCGCATGTAGTCGTACTCGAACCCGTACTTTTTCTTTTCGGCCTCCGGTAGCCCCTCGTATTCGGCCTTAAGCGCCTCCGAGTGCACGCGCGGGCACGCGCCCAGGTGGGCTTTGGTGTTGGTGAAGAGGTCGTGCGGGCAGGTGCCGACCAGGTACGATCGGCACACTTTGGGGTCGGTCAATGGGAGCTGGGCGCTGCGCGATGCCATACCCCCGCCCATCAGCTGCTCTGTGAGGGGTTAGCATTCATCATTGGACTGGCCGTTGCATTTGGTGGTGGGAATAGCGTGGGGAGGGATTGGAATTGGAACGTACCGAGCAGCTTTCGTTGTTCAGCAGCCATGATGCGGGACGAAACGTGCTGTGCTCTGTCGGATTATTTAGTGTATGTTTCTCAGAGTGGAATATCAAGTGCTAAAGACGATGGCCAACAAGGTGTTTAGAGTCTTGATGATGGAATTTGGTAGATGATATGTACAAGTATTTTGGGGTTTGAATTTCCAGCCGCGCTGCAAGGCTGCACATCGCGGCACGGGGAAGCGGGGCCCGTGGCGCGGATTACCCTTGCGGCTGCCTGCAACCCCTGCAGGCTGCGCTGCTCCTGTGGTCGCGAAACACCAGGCCAATCTCGAACACGACAGTCAGCCAAGACTCCCGGTTTGTGTTCCTTTTCCATCTTCCCAACTCTCCTTGCTCTCGCGGTTTCATGCGCCAATGGCAACGCCGCGTTGAGGGGGAAAGATGCGCCAATTCCTGTCGTTCATTTGGCTTTCGTTGCTTTCTTTTCTTGTGATTCCTTCTTCGGCATCCTCCGCCGTCGATTACCACGAGCAACTGAATCTAAGACCGCTGCCTCTTTCAGCGCTCCTCGCTAGCTTCAACTTCCGCTCCAACACCACCCTCTCCGAATTCGAAAAGGGCAACTTCCGTTTCTTCCCGCGATCGCTCGGTCAGATTTTGCAACATGCCGGTACACGCGAGCTACACCTGAGATTCAGCCTGGGGAGATGGGATTCGGAGACATGGGGCGCCAGGCCTTGGGATGGTGCGCGCGAGGGCGGTACCGGCGTTGAGCTGTGGGCGTGGCTTGAGACCGAGACTGATGAAGAGTAAGATACCCTGTGCTGTTTCACCGTCCCTCGTGTCTTGCTGACAAGCCGAAAACAGAGCCGACCGCAAATGGCTGACCCTGACCAACGCCCTGTCGGGCTTGTTCTGCGCCTCCCTCAACTTCATCGACGGCACCCGGACAACGCGGCCCGTCATGTCTTTCCAGCCCGAAGGAGACCACTCGGCGGACAACAACATGCACCTTCTTTACGGCGTGCTGCCACACGAGGTGGTATGCACTGAGAATCTGACCCCTTTCTTGAAACTCCTGCCGTGCAAAGGAAAGGCCGGGATCGCGACGCTCTTGGATGGACACAAACTGTTTGATGCGTCGTGGCAGAGCATGGCCATTGACATCCGCCCGATCTGTCCTGATAGCGGCGAGTGCGTCCTTCAGATCGAACAAACCATCGATATGGTCCTTGATATTGATCGGTCCAAGCGACCCAGGGGTAAGCCATCCTCCCCTTGGGCCATACTGTCGGTTTATTGACATGCTATAGGCAATCCCATCCCCAGGTCTCCGCCGGGTGACCAACTACCGTGTGATAGCTCGAAGTCTTACAACTCACACGACACATGCTTCCCAGTGGATCACACCAGCCAAGAATGGACACTCTCCCAGATCTTCGGGAAGACTGTCAAGGGCACCTGCCCCCTCGCGGACCCTGCCATTCCGCCGGTCTGCCTCCAAGTTCCCCACTCCCGTAGCGTCTTTGTCTCGAAGGACGTCCACGAGAAAAAGAACTCGGACGGCGCCTCCCGCTGCTTCCATATCTCTCCCGACACTGAACTGGAGATGATGCTCCCCCGTCCCGACAAGGGCGCATCCACAACCACCACGACCGACATCGCCACGCCTGAAACCCCGCTCCTCTACGCCGAACGCAGTTTCACAGGCCACGGTCAGGAGCGCGGCGGCGTGCAGACCATCCTGCGGAACCCGAGCCCCGACACCGAGGTCGAGTTCATCTACATGGAGTCTCTCCCCTGGTTCATGCGCATTTTCCTGCACACCATGGAAACCCGAATCGCAGGCCAGCCCCACGCGAATAAGTCTCTGGTCCAACAGGTCTACTACCGCCCAGCGCTCGACCGCGCCCGCGGCACCCAGCTCGAGGTGCGCATGCGGGTGCCGGCCGCGTCGACCGTGTTCCTGACCTACGACTTTGAGAAGTCCATCTTGCGCTACACTGAATACCCGCCGGACGCGAACCGCGGCTTTGACGTCGCCGCCGCCGTCATCACCATCCTGGATCCGCCACCAAAGGATGGCCGCTTTGCCGCCTACACCCTCCGCACCACCTCGCTGCTGTGCAGCCTGCCGACCCCCGACTTCAGCATGCCGTACAACGTGATTATCTTCACGTCAACGGCTATTGCGCTAGCGTTTGGCGGTCTCTTTAATATCGTCGTCCGCCGGTTTGTCGCCGCCGACGAAGCCCAGGCCACTGGGCTGGGGGTGGTGCTGGCGCGGTTGAAGAGCCGGTTGGTGAGCGCCGTGAAGGGTTGAGGGAGATGTGGACGGTAGCCGGGGAGTTTGAAGTTAATGTGAAAGCCGAATACAACCATGCCATCTTTCTTTTCCTTTTGCTGTTCCATCTTGAGCTTTTACGAAGTGACCTGACACGCGGGGCCAGTCTTGCCTTCTCATCTACCCCTGGATGTCGCGGCGTGTCCTTGCAGTTTCCACCCCCCTGCTGTCGAGGTAACTCCACGTTACATGTCTGCCTGTATCACTCGAGTGGGCCCATGGCGCGAGAATCCCTCTGTATGTCCCGTCGAAGTTGTTGGCTGGCCGGGAGTAGGGGCATCCCATATCGGCTCTGGATACTCCACTTCAAATCAACCCCAGCCTTGTGCAGTGGTACCGAATCATGCAGTTGGTTGCCGACCCCAGCCTTGTGCAGTGGTACCGAATCATGCAGTTGGTTGCCGACCCCAGCCTTGTGCAGTGGTACCGAATCATGCAGTTGGTTGCCAACCCCAGCCGCATCGGCTCAGCCGGGGAACGTCTGTCATCATTCAGGGGGTTGACGGGATATTGTCCTGAAGAGGAGGATCGGGTCCAGGGTGTGTATCATCTGCAAACCGTGAAGTATACGTGTCCGCGGGCGGCCAGGGGCTGGGGATGAGAAAGGGGAACCAACTAGGGCTGCTCAATACAAATAGCCAGGACCAACACTACGCATCAAGACATGTCAGAATCACCACTGCACATTTACAAATCCGCAGACCAACGAGCAAGCAAGCCCCTCGATCACAACCAACCACACACCCCTACCGACAATCCACCACCACCACCATCGATTATCCCCCACCCCACAATGGCCGACGACCACCACAACGACAACCACCACGACCACAGCCAACCACCACCCACCGCCGAACCCACCTCACCCACCGCCGAACCCCTCTCCCTCGCCCACTACAACACGCACGGCTTCTGCCAGCACCAGTCACCGACCTTCCCCCTCGCCCGCCACCGCCACGAGGCGCTCGCCAACGCAGGCTGCCAGGCGGCGCGGCGCGACTGGGCGCGTCTGATCGGCCCCGGCGCGCCGCACGAGTTCGGCGCGTGCAACCCGGTGAATGGGAATTTCGTGGCGTTGCTGTTTCCGCTGTGCAGGGTGGAGAGGCTGGGGGTGGTGGGCTATGTTGTTGAGTGTATGTAGGTGATGTTTCTGTGTGGGTGTTTTAGGGGGTGTTTGAGTGTTTTTTTTTTTTTCTGTTGGTTGGTTGGTGGGTTCGTTTCTGGTTACTTTTGTCGTGGTGACGGTTTTGGGGGTGGGGGGTAGGGTTGTGGTGGTCTTCACGGGTCGTTGGCGGTGTAATGCATGGCGCGCTGACTGGACTTGGTGTGGTAGATTCGTTTCTGCATGATAGTGTGGTTGAGGGTTTGGGCGAGGAGAGTGTAAGTGCCGTTTGAATGGTGTCTTGGTTATTTCTGTTTCTCATGTTCTTTTACACTCCCTCCTTCTTCGCCCTCTCTTCTTCTGCTTTCCTTTTTTATTCTTCTTCTAGTTCTTCTTTTTTTCCCTTTGTCTTGTCCTTTTCCCTTGTCTTGTTTCCTCCTCCTCATCAATATGACCCTAACCGCCTTCGCCAGTCAGCTCAACCGGACAAGTTTGGACTTGGAGAACTGGAAACAACCAGGCCCAATATCAAGGCCGGCAGGAAACAGATGCAGGCCAAGATCGTGTCCTTGTTGTCCGACATCGACAAAGCAGGTGCCGCAAGGATCATGGCCGTCTGGAAGGCCATGCTCTCAAGGACGCTCCGAGACAAGACCAAGGACTTTGCGAACTTGGAAGAGTACATCGAATTTCGCAGCATCGACACAGGCGGAGCGTAAGCCTTCGGCTGCCCCCACACACCACCTGCACCACAGTCCCGGACCCGAGGCTAATCCAGAACAACAGGTTTGGCGAAGCCCTCATGTTATTCGGCCTGGGCATGACTCTCACCGCGGAGGAAGACGCCCTGCTCGCGCACATTACCCAGCCGTGCTACGCCTCCTTTGCCCTGGTCAACGACTACTTCTCGTTCGATCGCGAATGGGGGGACACGCAATCCAAACCCGGCGCCTCCAAGCCCATCATCAACGCCGTGTGGCTGTACATGCAGTGGCGGGGGGTCAGCGTGGCCGTTGCGAAGCGGCTCGTGGCGGCGGCCTCGAACCGGTACGAGGCACGGTTCCTTGAGCTCTGTGAGCGGTTCAGGAACGAACACAAACCGATTTCACCCAAGCTGGACCTGTACCTGCGGGGGCTGTCGTATCAGGTGAGCGGGAACGTGGTTTGGAGTCTCAACTGTCCGCGCTACTACCCTGGGTTTCGGTACGATCCGAATGCGGGTCTGGAGGATACCATCACGTTGGGGTTGCGGGCGAAGAAACGCCTTGCTGGAGAGAGAGATGCGGAATCGTCAGTTGTCCTCCATTGTGCGTAGTTTTCCTACACTAGCCAGTAAAAGTGGTACACGGATGTCAGATGGCGAAGGAGATAAGGAAGAGGGGTGAAGGGTGAGGATGGGCGACTTGTCAGGCCGTCCACATTACTATCGATGTGTATGTCATCTTCCAATCGAAGCATTCAGGTAATTCCATCATGCCGAGTACTTCTGTATGAGCGGATCAGATAGGTAATGTCGAGGCCGATTGTCTGCAACTCTGACCTCCCTCTGGCCGGGCGATTGCACCGGCTTTTGGGCACCCGCTAGCCGACGTCAACATGTTCTCTTGATGCTACCAACTCAACATTTGTCGCTCGGCGTAGAGCGATGTTATCTTTTCGGGTCGTCCCCGGTGACGTGTGCTTGCTGCGCCGATGCTGTATGTAACGTGACTCGAAGTCGAGGTGTCACTGGGCAATTGTCGGGTTGGGTCCTTCCTTCCCATACGCGGTCGTTTCGATTTTCGTATAGAAATCGAAGTTGAAGGCCGTTGTTGCGCCAGCAGGTTGTAGAAGATGACTGCGGCGTTTGATCACCGGAGTTCACGAGTACCGTAGCGGGAAAATGAGGAACGTGGCATAGTATGTTGGGGCATAACAATCCCAGATATTGCATGCTTTGCTAACATGCCATGCCATGGTGACATGCCTTGCCAAAGCGACATGCTTTGCCAACCAATTTGGGTGATCTTATTGGTTAGATTTCACAGGTTCCACCAGGCACCTCAACCACGCTGAACGCTACCAATTACCACCGACCGCCGGGCACCCCACGCCACACACCACATCACATGGGACAAGGCGCAACTGCAAACTACAGCATGAATCGGTGCATTAGAGTATATTGAGAGCATAATGTTACATTTATAGTACGGTGCCACTCCATTCACCCTTAGGAGAGGCCGGAGCCCCGCCGGCTAACCCAGGCACCACGCCGCGAGGGAGTACCGTGAGTAACAGGCTAACCACGGCTAGCGGACTCGGTAGGAGTTACCGAGTCATTCTCTTTGGTGCGCTGCCCTTGGCGGCTCTGTGAACGTGTCGACATGCGTGCCAGCTGCCGCTGCGGCTGCTGCGTCGAGGTTCTAGCAGCTAGGGAAGAGGGAGGCCGAATGCCAGCGAAAGATGGCGCCCTGTCGGTGCTAGCACCAGGCAAGCTGCTAGGCGGAATAGTAGGGGGTGCTATGCTGGCAACGCACCTGGGAGGTGCGGTAAAACCCGGAGGCCTAGTGCCGGTAGGCTGAATGGTGGGTGTGGGTAGTTCGGCGGGAGGGTGGTTGCCAGTGCTCTTAGGTTGTTGGACGCTCAGAGGTGTGTCAACAGCTAGCTGAATGATGGGAGGGTGGAAAGTGGGGCCCTGGGAACCATCGCTGTTCAAACCACCAAAAGAAGGGCCACGAAACATGGAGTAGTCTAATGGCGGCAGCGAGTTGAGACGCTCGGTAGGCTCGAGAGGTCTGGAGATATGTGCCGGACTAGTAGGGCGAGAGGGCGGCGGGTAAATGATTCCGCGATGCTGCCAGCTGCCTGTGCCTCTTTGTCCCACTGCAATTGTGCATCGCGCCACCTGGCGAGAGCTGCCACCTCTCACCTCCCCCAGTCTTGTTCTTCTTCCCTAAACTCTCTGATCTAACTACCTTGTGGAAGGGGGCGTGTTTCATTTTTCTTTAACTAACGTAAGTGATATATACATTCAGCATGAAACCGACACTTACAAGTTGTGACTGGACAAAGCAAATATAGTCATCTTCTGCATTGTGGAGGCCCATACCTCTTAAAGGTTTAATAACCCGTACTACTATCCTGAGTGGAAGGCAAGTAGCGTACCGATTGAGTGGAGTCGTTTGCCGTCCCTTGTTGTCGGTGGCCTTAATACGCTCTAGCGAGTAAGAAGTCTATACGGGTATTCGATAATGAAAGGAGGGGCGTGTTTAGGGCACGGGTTGGTGGAGTGGTCTAAGTGGTCTATCTAGTCTAGCAGCCGTACAGCTTCCTAGTAAGCACCCGCTATTAGTCGGCTTCATCGCCGCAACATAACTATACACCCCTTCAAGACTAGTAGCTCAACATTTATTACTCGTGGCAGAAGAGTATTGCCTTTTCTCGTCCGTTGGTAATGCAGAAATGCTATCTTCTAGGCTAACTCAATGTCGAAATGTTGCTACGAAACCATCCGGCCCTCGTTCTACGTCTCACATCAGGCATGAATATGATCGCTCGCTCGTTTGTGGGATAGGTAAAATTGTATTAATAATTGAGTGTCTATGGTGCCTTTCCAGCTGCCTTACCCATGAATGACAAGCAGACCTGAGCCAGACTTCTCTCTAGCCAACTTCAAACATATTACAGTATGCCCATGGATGCTCATGCGAGGTTCATCCCCATAACCCACGGCCCTGCCATTAATCCAGAGAACGTATCATGGGGAGCCCTCCCAAAGAACGAAAACCCCGGTTCTTGATGCAGCGGCCCGCCGTCGCTCATTCTTATGCCCCCCCACGCAGCGATGTGACATGCAGGACAAGATCCACATAACACCGATTTGTCACCGTACATACCGTACCCGGCGTAATCTTGAAGATGCCCTGCGACCCAACGACGAATTCGTCGCCGCCTACCTGCACCCTGAGCTTCCCGCTGGCCAGCGTGCACATACGCGTCCTCGTTTCATCGGCTGGGAACCGGTGTACTTGACCGGAGGTGACAGTGATGGCTTGAAAGTTGATGTTTTGCGACACTTGGACTGACTGGTTGGCGGTGAGATACGTCGAAGAGAACGCCAACGCTATAAAAAAGGCGTTAGTAAGTTTAGAAGATGATGATGGCGGCAAAACCAATAATGACATACCCTCGCCCGCTGTGTTGACTCGGCCCTCTTCCATCTCCCAGTCCTCCATGTGCAATACCTTCTCAGTAGCGCCATTTCCTTCCCAGGCACCAGCATGGGACTCCTTGACCGCCCGACCATTTGCGGCGGATCGAGTTACCTTTAACGTAACCAACCGCGTACGCTTCGGCTTTGGCTCAGGGGGATGCGGCTCGTCATCTGAATCTTCGTCCTCCCCATCCTCACCACCATCGGCATTCGCTAGAAACAACCGCCTGGATCGCCTTCGCCCGGAAAGGTCATTACCCCCACCAGCATCAACAACGCTTTCGTTGATATTATCCTGTAGGCCATGCCTTGACGACCATTCCCAGGCTGATCCCAGCTTCCTGAGGCTACAAGCCGACGAGTTTTTGCGTGCGATGCAACTCGCGCACGCCCGCGAGCTGGTACCCAGCCATGGGTACAAACGCCGCGCAGCATCTCCCGAAAGGCTGACACAACAGTCAAACGGCCCGTTGTGCCGGCGGCATTCACTGCAGGGTTTAGGATTCTGCTCGCCCACAAGCTGGATGGGCAAGGCCGTGATTTGCTTTCGGTTGAGGTCGGAAAGCAGCGTCCCAGGTATGATGTTGAGATCCCGGAGCTTTGGAAGGCCGAGGAGCATCGCCACTTCGGGTACCTCGCCATCGGAGGGCGAGAGCTCGGGAACAAACGAGCGGATGTGATCCCAGAGACGGCCTGCAGCACTTCCTGAAAGAACCTTAGAGGCGTCACCAGAAGCGTCCTTGTTGGTGCCGGCTGATTCGGCTCGGAGCGCTGTGGTAGGGTCTTTTTGTGGGTCTGCCACACGAGAGTCAAGAAGGTAGGGAGGTAAACGAGCTGGTGGACGGGGCATTTCAATTGGATCGATGGGTTCCTTGGAGGCAACGCGTGGGGTGGTGTCGTTGTGTGAGCCCACGACGGAAAAGGTGCCATCGCCGTTGTCGTTTAGGGAGCAGGACTTGTGGATGGTCTAAGAGAGGGTAATCGTTGTCAGGTTCAGTCTCGTGCGGCACCTGAATGGCATGGAACTCACCATGAAATGGTACCCCAGACTCTTGCGAAATTTACAGGCCGATCGACACGACCTGACGGGACAAACCCAGGGGCGGTCAGGGAAGGTGTCATCCAGCTCATAACCCTCTGGTATCAGAGCGCCGGCCATGTTAACTAGCTGTCCCGATTCATCTGCGAACAGAAAAGGCGTGAGTACTTCATTCAGCCACAGTGAGAGCAGAGCAGTCACTTACCCCACCATTCTTGGTATGAGCGACCATCCGCTGCGAGTTCCAGGGAAACGCCGGCATCGACGTCCGCGATCTCAGGATCCACACCAGACTTTGTCAGGCTAGAATTCGGGCTGGGGTCAGGCTCGGCCGCTTTGACCCAAAGAATACTTTTGGCGGCCATGCCGCGTGGATAAACAGGCCGCAGAGGCTCAGCGATAGGTTCGATATCCATCGCACCCCGAGAAACAACCACGGCTGGTGCGGTACTGCCATTCTTTTCTATGACGGAAAAGGTCCCGTCGAGATTGTCATTCAGCCGGGAGCCGCGGTGATGACCCCTGAAATGGTTCCCGAACTCGACAGGCGCCTTGAACAGACGGCGACAGCTCCGAACAGGACAAATCCAAGGACGATCTGGCAGGGTTGTGTCATGTTTATATCCGTCTGGTATCAAGACGTATTTTAACGAAAAGAGGGTACCGGATTCATCTGCCGTCATGGTCAGAGGGAGGAAAACGGCTGGGGAGGAGTAGATGCGATCGCTTACCACGCCACATGTGGTATGGGCGGTCTGGATTCGCCATGTCGAGTCGCCGGCTTTCGCCGGGCCCGCTAGTTTTACTAGGGATGGTTGTCTCATCGTCGTCAGTCGACGTCGAGTCGCTGTCCACAGAGACTGGTTTGGGCACGCTTGACGAAAAGCGGCGCGGGCCACCCCTTTGGGGGATTGTCGGTTTCGGGGTCGGATTCACGGCGTAGTGAAGTGTGGGCGATGCCATTGGTGCCTCCGCTAGACTCATCGTTTTCTTAGACACAATTAAGGGGGGCTTAGGAAACCCTCCTGAGCTCCTTCCATTTCCATATTCGGGATTGGCGTAAGTTCCTAGGTCAGTGAGAGTACCGTCTTCGTTGTCGTTAAAGCGAGTGGCACGGTGGGAGTTCTACGTGGTGCCATTATCAATATTGTGTCAGGTGGTCAACTGTGAACGAAAACGGCGGGCTCACTGACACAAAAGTGTCTCCCTAAGCCGCTTAGGCCAGGGAGCATCTTCCTACATGACCTGACCGGACACACCCAGGGAAAGGCAGGGTCGTCGGACACCTTATACCCAACGGGGAGCAGAGCGCCGGCGGTGGATATCTTCTCTCCAGATTCATCTTCCAGAATAGGTTAGAAGATGCCGGGGTTGCTAGCCTTCAACCCGAGTTTGTGACAGCCATACCTAACCAAGTCCTGTACGGACGATCGTCAAATGCTGAATCGAACACTTTCTGGACGTCGGGAGGCATCGGTTTCGTCGATTTGGAAGTTCCCGCCGTTCTTGTCGTGTGAAGTGGAATCTGGTCACCAGTCGTCATCGATTCGCGAAGGTCCGTTCTGGGTAGATCAATGTGTGATTTAGATGAATCGTGGGCACTCTGCATTTGACTCGGTAAGTCAGGTACCGACCTAAACACACCAGGTACGTTCCCGGAGGGAAGGAGGAGAAGTGGTTAGCCGAAGAGGATTAGCTAGAATGACATACTCGGATTTTATCAAGACCAATCACAGGGTTGGATTGTGGTTGTGTGTTTGGGGGCTTTTGATTTCCGCCGTCACCAGAAACTGCGTGGTGTTCGGAATGACCCAAGGTGATGATGGTACTTGGAATGGGTTTTCGCTCCTTCTGGCTTCGCATGCCCGTCGCGAGGCGAGAAGAAGGGCGGGCATCGTGAGCCGTAACGGGGGCTGGGCTCCACAACGATGGGACGGAAGGAGAGGATGTGGCGTGGTTCCCATCCGGTGGAACGGTAACAACGGAACGGCCTGAGAACGGGAAGGGCCCGTTGTGGCCGGTCCGTCTCATTTTGAACACCGGACGGGGCCGGGACTCGCTCGATGCCGCCGAGTCAGAAGCATTATTATTCTGCTGTGCCTGAAACAAGCCGCTTGGACCCGCATGTTGTTGCGTTTCTTCAATGGAACGTTTGGGTGGTGCTGTTGGGGCTGTTGGTTGCGTTGCAGCTGGATTAATGTAGAATTCAGTTCCCCCGGACATGACGAGCACTTCTGTGGTACCTATCACAGGCGGCAGACTCGAGAAATACCGCCCCTTGTGGCGCTAAAAAGGAGGCACGTTGTCGTCAAAACATGCATGAGCCCACAAAAACGCGAGACGCGGTCGCATCATCGGGCTGTGGGAGCTGGCCCAATGGGGCAGCGGTTGAGCGGATAATCTCAACACCCTAACCCCCGGCCTTCCATCCTGACCCCTCCCATGTCCGATCCGCAAAAAGCAACCTTCCCGACCCCTCCCACCGTTGAACCATATCGCCGCCCATAATGGTTGCCTCACAGTTTCAAAAAGTGCAAATAATACAGGCACCCTCTCGCTCCGCCATCGTGGGCGAGTTGTCAGTCTTTCTCGCGGGCACGACGACCAAGTCATCCTACCCGGACTGGCGCCAGGCCCTCATCGAAGCCGTGTCTCACCTGCCCATCACCGTCCTTAACCCGCTACGACTCGATTGGGACCACACATGGGGACCCGAGCAGATCTCGGCGCAAGTGGAGTGGGAGTTGGACATGCAGGAGCTCGCTGATGTGGTGATTGTGTTTTTTGGCCCCGAGACAGACGCACCGATAAGTTTGTTGGAACTAGGCTTGTCGGCGCGGTCCGGCAAGGCGATCGTGGCTTGTCATCGAGACTACACGAAGAGAGTCAATGTGGAGATTGTGTGCCGCCGCTTCGGATTGGAGTTTATTCATGCTGACGTTGACCTGGCGGAGAGTGTCATCAAAAAAGGCCATGAGTCGATCGAAGCGATTCCGGGTCAAGCCTTGAAGCTCACTCGTTAGAAGAGGTTCACGAAGCCCGGAATCAACTGAGTCTGACATCTGACACTGGCGAGATGGACATGATGAATCAATGTGTAGACTAACAATCCTAAAAGAAAAAGAAAAACCTGTCGGTGTCAAATGAAATGGAGTCATGACAGAGTAACGATTGACTGTTTTTCCATCAATGACTGTACCGAAACCATTCTTGCTGCGCCTTTGTACGACTCCGATGTTCTGCAGTCAGTCGAGAGCAATGTGGCCCGTGCCAGCAATGGCTTGCGCACGCCATCGGCAGTGGAACCGGCCTTGCAGTGCCCCGCTCCTCCACACTTTGGAACCAACCCTCGATTTTGACTCATCAAAACTGCCACGCAGACCTTTTAATAGGTCGCCTCAGTCGCTCCCCGACCCCTGCCAACAGCTGAATGCGCTCCCTTACCAAGATTCGACCCTTTTTCCCTTCGTTCAGACCAGTTTACACCAAGACTCGGTTTCTGAAGGCATTTTCAATGGCAGCCATCACAGTTCACAACTCGCTAAAGCCCGGGTCGCCGGTGCCTTTTGTGCCCAGGGAGGAGGGCAAGGTCTCCTGGTATGCTTGCGGTCCGACTACATACGACTTGAGCCATCTCGGACATGCCCGCAACTATGTTTCCACCGACATCATCCGCCGTATCCTTATCCATCACTTTGGCTTGAACGTCAACTTCGTTGTGAGTGTTACCCATGGCTCTCGTCTTGTTGCATGTTTGAAAACACAGGGCATCACTAACGTCGTCGTAGATGAACTACACGGATGTGGATGACAAGGCTGGTTTAATCATCCGGAATGTGTTCCCGGATAGGTGTCTAACGCCGTGTTTTGTAGATCATTATCAAAGCCAGGAGGAAGCGACTGCTCGAGCTCGAAAAAGAGAAACCCTACTCCCCCAGCCACATTAGGGAGCTTGCGTTTAAAGCATTCCAGGCTTACGCTGAAAGCAACCTCCCTCTCCTAGCCGGAGCGGGGCAGTCAGCCGTGGACGAGCACAACTACCCGGAGCGGAAAGAGGCCGCTTACGGCCATGTGTTGGCAGGCGGTTCCTTGTCAGGGGAGGGCAAGCCCGGCGATGCGGAAGCCAAGGTGAAGATGCATCTCGGCAATATGGACGCTGCGGCGAAGTCTCTCAAGGATAGTTCCGGGTTTGATGGCGCCGAAGAGGTCCTCCTTCCGTACCTCGATTCCTTGTACAAGGAAACGATCGACACTAGCGACCAGACCATGTTCACCGATCTCACACAAGCCATGGAGAAGGCGTTCAGCGATGATATGGAGGCCCTCAATGTCCTACCCCCGGACGCAGTGACACGAGTAACCGAGTATGTCCCGCAGATCGTGTCGTTTGTCGAGCAGATCATCGCCAAGGGGTTTGCGTACGAGGCCAATGGCTCGGTGTACTTCGATATCGCGGCCTTTGAGCAGGCCGGCAACACGTACGCCCGGCTGCGACCCGAGAGCAAGAACGACAAGGCGCTGCAGGAGGAGGGAGAGGGCTCGCTGTCCAAGAGCCTGGAGGGAAAGAAGCGGTCTGGCGACTTTGCCTTGTGAGTGTACTCTCCTCGCATTAGTCATCGGGCTGGCACTGACCATCGGTGATTGTAGGTGGAAGAAGTCGAAACCTGGAGAGCCATTTTGGCCCAGTCCCTGGGGCGCCGGTCGCCCTGGTTGGCATATCGAATGCTCCGTCATGGCCTCGGACAAGCTCGGTGAACAGATGGATATCCACTCTGGCGGCATCGATTTAGCATTTCCTCATCACGACAACGAGCTGGCTCAGAGCGAGGCCTACTTTCACCAATACGAAAGGGGCGAACACTCTTGGGTCAACTACTTTTTGGTATTTTGAAACTTCGAAACTTGGGCGCCATGGATAGCCACTAACGCGCCACAGCATATGGGTCACCTGTCAATCGCAGGGAGCAAGATGTCCAAGAGCTTGAAAAACTTCCAGACCATCCAAGACGCTCTAGCGACGACCTACACTGCCCGCAACATGCGCATCGTATTTCTCATGGGCCGCTGGAACGACGGGGTCGAGATCTCTGGGGACATGCGGAAACAGGCGGACAGCTGGGAGAGCACGATCGATGTGGGTGCCCCGAATCATCGGACACTTGAGTGTTGCTAACAAAGACAGAACTTCTTCACCAATGTCAAGGCGAAACTAGCAGAAGCTGGGTCAACGGCGGACGGGATCAAGGGCCGGTCTCTTGAGGAGGCCACAAGCCTGACCGAGGAGCTGGAGCAAGCCAAGAAGGATCTCGATTCGGCGCTGCGCAACTCCTTTGATACCCCCGGCGCGATGCAGGTGATCCTCCGGCTGGTCAAGAACGCAAATATTTACATGAACGACAAGTCTGCCCAACCCAACCTACAGGCTATCGAAGCCGTTGCGAGGTGGGTAACCAAAATTGTCGGCATTCTTGGCCTAGACGCCAGCGCGCAGCCTCCGTATAACGGCCTCGGGTGGGCCTCTGCTAGCGCGGCGGCGGCTGCCAACCTCGAACCCAAGGTAGCTGTGAAGCCGTATGCGGAAGCGTATGCCAAAGTGAAGGCGGACGTCGAGCGGTTAAAGCTCGCCAATACCCCAATCCAAGATCTTCTCCAACAGCAAACGCCAGAAGCCGAATTTGCCGAGCTGGAGAAAACCGGGGAGCGGGACGTGGAGAAGCTGGCGATGCCTTACCTGAGGGCAACCTCGAGCCTGCGAGACGAGTTGCGGGCGGTTGTCTCAGCCCTGGAATCCCCAAGCAAACAGGCCGTGCTTACACTCAGCGACCGTATCCGCGACTATGACCTCACCGACCTCGGCGTCCAGCTTGACGACCAAACCGACAAGCCGAGCTTGATCAAGTTCGTTCCTGCGTCCAAGCTCATCGCTGCGCGAGACGAAAAAGCGGCGCTGCTAGCAGAAAAGGCTAGGCAAAAGGAAGAGGGTGGGTCTTGTTCTTAGATTGCAAAATACCTACCGATCACTGACGTTTGAAACCAACAGCCCGGAAGGCGAGGGAGAAGGCGGAGGAAGAAAAGTGGGCCAAGGCCAAGCTGTCTCACAAAGACATGTTCAAGGCCGACGCCAAGTACCAGGAGTGGGATGCCGATGGGCTTCCGACCAAGCTCGCGGATGGCAGCGAGGTGCCCAAGAGCCAGGTCAAGAAGCTGAAGAAGGAGTGGGAGAGGCAGAAGAAACTACACGAGGAGTACCTCGCTAAGTCCGGGGGCGCCTAGAGACCGGCTCTGCTGATGTCTCGATCCCGCCACCTAGGTGAGCCTGTTGGTTTTGATGTCTCTGGGGAATCGCGTTAGGCTAGTGGGGAATAGACATACAGTGGTAAACAATTCTAAAATTTGCCGATATATTGATTCCCCTTGTCCCGTCTCAAAGGATGAAAACTAAGTAATACCTAATAGTGGAAAGATGTTGAAACTGATTCATGGCATACAGCCCCCCTTCTACAACGCCAGGCAATATAAGGTGGTCGGAGGACGAGAAAGATGGACCTAGCGCCAGCCTTGGGCGGATCACAACGACGGCGAAGGTTGCATGGTCCTGCGCTTGCGGGACAGACTGCTCCGGACGCAGTTGGGAAGAATCTGTGGCAGGTCTTGCAGCATCCGATCCACCGTCCGCTTCTCCTCTTCCGAAAGAGTACCGTCGTCAATATGGGGCAACTCCACGTAGAGCTGTTCCATGATCTGGGGCATGATGTTGGTGATTGCGTTGGCCACCACCTATGGTCCAGGGTCAGTATCAGCATCAGCATGTCATCAACCGGTCCGAATATACGAGTTTAGGGGAGCTAACTCACACTCTCACAGGTCTTGGGCAACTTTTGGTACCTTTTCACCAGGGCATTGGCGGTGATCTCGATACCCAGCTTCTCTCGCATCTTCTCCGAAATCGCCGCATATCCGTAACCGGCAGCCCGGAGCTTTTTCAACAGAGTTGCCTCATCATCCTCCTCACACACCGCTGGGTGGGTGACTGGGGCAGTCGTCCACTGCTCTCCCGCACTAATGAGCCATGCTGGGGGTTGACCATGAGCGGCAGCTGCTTGCTCCACGTGCGAGAAAACGTCCTGGCCACAAAGTCGGCAAGGGGGTTGGACGAAACCTCGACATCGGCGCAGTCGGATGAAGCCTCAAGGCCAGTCCACGAGATCCCCGGTTTGGGGATGTTGAACGACGGTAGCAGGTCGAAGAATTCGGATTGCTGCGGCTGGAAACATGCCTCGACAACGGTCGGGTGGGTGGCCCGGGAGACTGGGTTGCCGTCGTCGCCCCCACTCCAGCTACCCTCGCCGCCATCTCTATTATCATGGAACTGACTGAAGCCGAGCTCATCGCAGGGTTGATAATGACTATCAAAAGGGGCGAGAGTGTCGGACATGGTCGTTGTTGGGGGGATAATATTGAACGTGGTTGGATCGTGCGTAGTGGTTCCGAGTTGCGGTTCTGACTTGGCGATGCTCAGAAATATCCACCAGTCACCAGAGGACGCCTGCACTTCCGATATATCGAAAATCGAGAATCCCGGGTGTCCTCGGTGGAAATATAGGGTATTTTAATGTAAGATGTTCCGGTGTACGAGGCTCAGAGTCCGCGCGTAGGCCGGTGGCCATGAGTTGTCTACCCTGTTCAACATTTTACTTTGAGCCCACATAAGGAGCCAGGGGTTGGAGACTGGCTAGCAATTACAGGCGTGCTTGTCCTGTCCTCCTCCCCAGCACGAATAGCACTTTGCCTCATGAGCGGTGTGCTAAGGGGCCTTGATGCCCATGGCGGTGTTCCAACCCGCAATAAATTAAAAGTCTATTCGTCGTCACGGCACGGCACAAAGCCGCAGCCGCAGCCTCAGCGGGCATCAAGCCCAGGCACCTATTGCCACTTGGCGCCCAACCTCTTGGCACAACCACAAAGACTCAGCTTGAACTTTGCGGCTCTGCTGAGCCCAGACCCGTTTGGGGCTGGATACTTTTGTCGACCACAAAATCCCTTTCACAATAGGCAAAACTGGCCCTGTAAAGAGGGCTTCGTATGAACCTAGATGTCCCCAACGTTACCTTGGCACACCCGTGTGGTCAGCATGTGGGTTTGGTGATTGTCCCGGGTATGGGCCGAACTAAGCGACAGCGTGACGGAAAATACCTAGGGACTTTTTCTGCCTTGGCTACTACCGACAGATATAAAGAGTTGCCAGACATGCCATTGATTTTTGTGGGCCATCCAAGCCTCCAACATTGACTTTGACGGCCAAGCCTTCAATCTTCCAACATTGACTCTGACGTACCAGCCTTCGATCTTCAATCGGCTCGAAACCAGCCATGTCGAAGACCTTAGGCACAAAAGCGCAGCGTTGCATTCATGTGCGAGAACACGCCGACGAGTCGAATCCATCCACAGATGCTGTTATGGATCAGGTGAGTTTCATCTCAGAATGAGCCCAACCATGTCCACCTAGACGCAAAGGAGCTGATGCCTTTTTTTATTCATGATGAAGATCATCCAACGTGCTCTCGAACGAGCTGGCCGCCGGGTCGACCTGATAATCGCTCAGGAGGTCAAACGCCTCCTCTCCTCCCCACTAGTACCTCGGCACGACGCCAACGCCGGATGCCAGCTCGCCGGCTAAGGACTAGCCGGGGGCGGACCTGCCATCGCCGATAGCATTGCCGAACGTGTAGGGAGGAGGACCGACCGTTGGGCCCAAGGTGTTAGCTCAGTCCTATACCCATTGTCGATGAGGACTGCAGCAGTCTTGGGTGTCAATTCCATCAATGGCAACTACGCCGGATGCCGGTTGGCCGGCTAAAGACTAGCCGGAGACGGGCCTACATCGTCGATGATAGTGTCAAACGTCAAGTGAACCGGGGTGAGGGCCTCTGTGTCTTCTAACAAGGGGGCGAATGGGTCTTGATCTTTGCATTTTTCGTTCCTGGCGCTGCGGTGCCTTTCGTATTTAGTCAAGAGGCGGGCCCCTCCTTGAGTTTAGGGGGCAGACAATTCTTACTTTTCTTTCCCACACTTGCAGAAGTGAACCTTTGACGCGGTTTCTGGAACCGCGGCCTTCTGACCAGAAGGCCACGTGTGTAGGCATTACGATACCACTGTCGTAGGACAAGTGGTGGAAGTTTACTGTTTTTGAGCCATCTCCCTCATGCGACATGGACATCGCAAGGCGTGCGGCACAGAGGCCCAAGCGTTGGTGGTGTGTGTGGTTTTGAGGTGTATCACCGCTTCATAAGGGAGGAGGATCGAGGGTTGGGCCAAGACTATTCTATTAGTTGACTTCATTATCATAACGTTACACATTTTCGAGGAAGGTTGCAACAGACTTGGATGTTTCATCAATGGGAGCTCGGCGAGTTAAAATGGGATTGGAACACATTTTATAACCAGTTACCTAGGTAAGTATTGCGGGTTTCTTTAGATTGAAGTCCAATTTCGGAGTAGCCTTGTTCTTCTTAGTACCTACACAAGCAGACTTGGAGTCGAGGTTTGTAGCATTGAAAATTCGATGAAGCCCGTTTTTAATATCCAATCCGGCCAAAAGCCTGTCGTGGACATAAACGGCTCCATTTCGAAATGGGTCAGTCGTGTTAGACGAATAATAGGCTCTCCAATCAAATGAACGTCTGCGGAAATGTGGCCTGTCGTGGTTTGATGGGTGTTGAACTTCCCCAATCCCCTTTTGTTCTTTTTTTTTTTTTTCTCAGCCGCAACCCCACACCCAGCAACAACCCAACAACCCACTGTCCATCTGTTTCCCTCAACATCCGTTACGAGACGACCCGGGTCGAGGAACGCGAAAGAAAGACCGTCCGGCATAACTACTCACTAGCATTAGATCGGCGATACGAGGGTTTAACCCATTCAATCCACACCGTGATCAGTTGACTTTGGTGCGTCCTCGAACAATCTATCATGGCTGAAACACATCCAGGAATATCTATCAGGATCTCGGGGTCCAAGCCACGGCCTCCATCCCATCTCCATCCACGTCTCCAAAATCCCGCTCCAGGCACCAGAATAACCCGATCCAAGTCTGCAGATCGAGGACGCTAAGACAGGCGCGCCGTTGCATCAACCCCGGCCAGCCTGTGGATCGTCTCAATCAGGCAGGTCTGCCCCGGCCGAGAGTCTAAATTGCGCGGCGCAGCAAACCGTGGCAGGCCATCGCAGTCCATTGCGGGCCATTGCAGTCCACTGAAAATCCAAAGAGCTCTGCCCACGCGCCACCCGTTGCGACCTTGCAGTGGGGTCTTTACCGAACGAGCCAGCATGTTTTCGCAATTGCGACCCCAGACCGGCCGACGAGCCCACATGAGTGATGTCGCCAGAGGTTGAGGGTCGCCAGGCGGGAGAGCCCACGAGTGAGGGTTACAGTGCAGGTCGGTGCCGCTGGGCCAGTGGCCCCTTTCATGAAATTGGCGGGTTCGAGGGATCAGGAACCAACTTGGACGTGCTCAAGTGCCTTGTTTTCTTCTCGGGCCCCGCAAACGGCACATCCGGAAATGCGGGCTTGGGACCGGTCCGTTGTTGGGAACGTGGACGCAACTGACGACACCCTTCCCCTCTTTCTTTTTCGAGGCATGGCCATTCCTGAACTACATCTTAACTTTTCCCTCCTGGTCCGCCTCGCAGTCGCGATCGCAATCTCCCCCAATCAACGCCGTGGTGACCCGTCTCGATAACTAAACCCCGGCCCTGAGACGCGGCCCTGAACGCGACCACCGCAACACATATATCCGCCCAAGTGGAAAACCTCGACAGCATGGGGAGACGAAACAAGAAGCCCCCGCCGCGGGTCTACCACGACGGCCTGATCCCCGCCACCCACGACACCTACCAGAGCTATCCCGAGGTGGTCGGGGACGACTTCGACCAGGTCAAGCACGAGAAGAGCTACCCGGAACTGGCGCCCCCACAGGACGATCCCGACCAACAACCACCTCCCCAACCACATCACCAATACCACCAACACCAACAAGACCCCCCAGACAACCAACCCAACCACCAACACGCCCACCACCCCTCCACAATCCTCGCCCCGCCCAACAACAACAACAACAACGCCAACAACAACCTCTCCCACCACCACTCCCCTCTCTCCCCGCTCTCCGGCTCCAACCCCCCCCACTCACATTCCCAACCCCCACCATCCTCATCATCAGCACCCGCACCCCCGCCGCTAATCCACCCCCTCGCGGGTCTGCCCCGTCCCTCGGGGGTGCACTCGCTGCGGCAGGCGTGGAGCGAGCCGGGCGACCCGGAGGACCCGCACGGCGTGCTGCTGGACGCGGACCGTGTGGCGTGGTGGAAGCGGCCGGTGTTTTGGGTGTTGGTGGTGGCCGGGGCGGTGATCGTGGTGTTGGCGGGGATATTGGGGGGGGTGGCGAGTGGGAGGGTGGGGACGGCGCTTGGGGGGGTGGGCGGTGCTGGTGGGAGGGGGGAGGGGAGGTTAGTTTTACTTTTTTTTGGGTTTCGTTGCGTGTTTGCGTTGTTGGGGAGGATGCGGAGGCTATGGGTTTTTTATGGTGGTGGTGTGCTGACTTATCTGGATGTAGCAGCGGCTCGATGCCTCCCGTGGCGAACCCTACTTGCCCTGGATCCGGTAACCGCAACTACACCACCAGCGTGGCCGGCGCCATGCCCAAGACCTTTCGGATTCAGTGCGGCGCCAACTATCCTGGCGGGGACGGGATCCTGGGACTGCGGAAGACCGGCTCCATCGATACCATCGCGGGCTGCTTTGACGCGTGTGCGCGTGAGTCGGGGTGTGTGGCGGCCGTGTTTAGCCCCGGGGATGCGGTGGAATGTTGGCTCAAGGAGTTTGTGGGGGTTGTTCAGACCGGAGGGAAGGCTGAGGGAATGGTCAGCGGGGTGCTCTGGCAGTAGCTGACGAGCAGGTCACGATGGGTGGGTATGTGCTTTGCGTGGGATCGGATGATGCTGTATGTTTGGGAGGAGTATTTGATTTCTGGGGTCGGCGGGTGGTGGATCTGTTGTTTTTTGTTTTGATACCTAGGTATTCGGGATGGAGGTGGGCCGTTGTGTATGTTTGTCACTTTCTGCCTGTTCATGGGTCTTGTATATATGTCTGTTCCAAACTGTCCCCGAAAGGTGAATGTGCAGTCCGCTGTGGATCGATGGTTTATGTTGTTGCTCGATTTGTGCCCGCAATCGCAGGCATCCCGTCGTGGGCAACATCAAATACTTCAGCAGCCACGCCTGGCCGAAAATACACATTTTCACCCAAACATCTAGCAAACAGTGCGGACGACGCTCCATACTTGGAGAGTCATTCAACAAACACATGCCTCCCAATCTTCAACCAACAACATGAGTTCCCAATCCGAATCACAAACCGAGGCCTCACAGTCAAAAACACCCGCCGAGGGCAAGTATCCCTACTCCTTGTTGAGCTTCATGAACGCTGACGAGCTGTGATAGAGCAACCCTTACTGGAGTCGGGGCTGCCCTCCGCGCCATCATCCTATGCATTTATCGCCACGCCAATCCCCAACAGTCCGAACAACGCTACAGCCGCAAACAACATGACCGCGGCTAACAAGCGGGGAGAGGTACGGAGCCCCGTAACGAGGCTTCTGGACATTATCCTCCAGGACTGCGGGTGCGACCTCGAGCGTGGCGGACAAAGACGTCATCGTCACGACTGCGAGCTGTTCTGGGGCTTGGTGTTTGTTGGCCTGTACACTGTTATCACGGTGTTGGTTGTTGCTGTCTGTTTGAGCGTGAGCAGCGGCAGCGAATAGGTCGGATATCTGGGTGTCAGGGGTGGTGGCTTGGCCGCGGTTCGGTGGTTGGTATCTCGTTGTTTACGACCCTACCTTGCTTTACAGAAGGAAGTAGGTGTTCCGGGCTTGGGTAACAGTCTGCACTATTTCTTGGTGTGTTTGGCTGGTTACATGACAACTTATAGGGCTTGGAGTGCACGAGTTTGGGGTTCCATTATGTAGCTTTACGCGTTGCCAAGGTCAGGAGCAAACCCTCTCATGCAATATGCCCAGGCTATCCTCCGTGATACTCTCCATTACAATATCCCCCCACCCTACCTATACCCAGCCTTCTGCTCCTGCGCATTCTCCTCCTGCCCATGACCCGAAACGGCATACGCATCGACATGGGCCTTCGAAAACTGGCGAGCCGGCGTCTTGTTCGCAAACAAGATATCCAGCTCCTCGTACGTGCGGCCCTTAATCTCCGGCAGGCGGAAATACGCCCACACAAAAACAATAAACGCTGTGCCCCCCCAGAAGAACCCCGACTTGCCCTTGAAATTCCACGCCGTTGGGTTCTGCATATAGCTATACAGCACCTGCGACATAATATTCGTAACCTGGTACGCGGTGCGCGCGAGCACGACCGACAGCGGCCGCAGCCGCACGCTCGACGTCTCGGACGTGATGCTGTACGCCAGCGGGCCGATGGTTAGCGAGTAGACAAACAGCCAGAACACGCACAGCCCGCCCGACGGCCACAGGCCCCTCTCGCCTGCCGACACGTCCAGGATGCCGAGGATCAACAGGATCACGGTGAGCAGGCCGAGCCCGCCCACGTACAGCGTGCGGCGCCCGAAGTACGTGATCAGCCACCAGGAGCTGTGGGTGCGGGGGGTTGGGGGTTAGTAATTGGACCATGCAGGGTAGCTAAGCAGGGTGTGGAATGGGGGTTCTTACGCGACAGTCCCCAGGAAGGCCATCCCCTTGGCGCCGAGGCCGAGGTTAAAGGCGTTGTACTTCTCCATGCCGGCGGTGGTGAAGAAGTAGGTGGGAGTGTAGGCAAAGCTGCTTCCTGACAGTATCTGGCCCATGAAGGCCACCATGCAGATCTCAGTGCGGCGCAGATCATTGCCGCGGAAACAGTCGAGGTAAGTGGCGCCCTTCGTGACCTCGGCCTCGAGACTCGTTGTGCGCACCATCATGGCGAGCTGTGCGTCGATCTGCTCGTCCGACTTGTCGCCGCCGAGTCTCTTGATGGAATGCTTGGCTTGGTCCAGGCGGTCGGTACGGACAAAGTACCAAGGACTCTCGGGGGCAAAGTAGGCAATGACCATGAGGGGAAGAGGCCACAACCATTGGATGGCAAAGGGGATCTTGTAGCCCATCTCGCCGACGATAGGAAGGCAGCCTCGGAGAACGCCGCTGGCAATGAGCTGGCCGATGGCCCAGCACAGGTTCACGTAGGTGGTCAGGTAGCCACGCAGGTTGGTGGGGCATACCTCGGAGGCTAATAGAGAATATAGAAACCGAATCAGTAATGAGGTAGCCTAAGTTCACCCAGGTTTAGACTCACCATAGGCGGGACAGAGGGTCGCAAAGACACCCCAGCATAGCCCGCACAAGATCTGGCCGCCTACTAGGACGCCAGCGTTGGGGGCAAAGAAGACGACGAAGATAAAGGCGTTCAGGAACCCCATGGCTCCGATCATGACCCAGCGGTAACCGAATCTGGAAGCAAGGTACCCGTTCATGAGACCGCCTTGAGAAGCTTGCTGTTAGCACGAGTCATGCGAGGAATAAAGCTATCAAAATTGGACGCGTACCAAAAATAGCACCAACGGTGCTGGCCATGTTCAACCCCGTCTGCCACGGAGCCGAGACCTGCCAGTCGCCGCTTTTCTCAGAGTAGTCTCCAAACTTTTTTGCAAACTCGGGGTAAGCAAAGAAATTGCCTATGAGAATGGTGTCGTAACTGTCATTTTTTAGCATCAAGTTAGGTTGTCGAGGTGCAAATTGAACAAACATACCCTTCCATGATAATCGACATGGAGATCATGATGGACCAAAAGACGGCCCAGTGGTTTGCTCGCAGAGCCTGCACCAAGGTCTGAGCGTGTTCATCTTCGGTTGCCTGCTTC